TAGCTAGAGGCTATGTGTCCATAACTGTTACACCTGAAATACCTCCTGGCAGGTATTTTATTGAAAGAGCTACATTTCTCCGGCTCCTTTTCATTGATATGTCTTCTCACTCCTATGTCCTGTCTTGTTAACTCCTCCCGATGTCCCTTTGTCAGTTGTGGTTGCGGTAGGTGACTACCTGACTAAAGGTTGCTGTCGGATTTAAGATTGTTGTTAACTCTATTTTTGTTGTTTTTCCACCTTTAAGGCTATAACTACACATTGCTAATAATGGGCTTCAGGCCCCCAGGTACAGGACTCTAGCATGTTCTTCTGACTCGACTAGATGACACTTCATCTGCAATTGGTCGAATTATGTTGTGAACTCCTCTATTGAAAAGTCTCTGTGTTGTAGGTGGTGGAGCCTCAGAAACATGTCCTCATGATAATATGGTGGAAGGTATATCCTCTACATTGTTTTCTTCGTCTTTTTCTACTTGATAATCTTATCACGGCCTTCCCTTTTATTATATTTCTATAATTTTTTCCACTACAAAGAGGCATTGCCCTTTAACTTGATGACTGCTATTTTCGTCAGCATATCCTCTAGTGCATCCTTATATTCGAAGATTCGCTCAACAGATTGTAGCAAGTCAATAAACTCATCTAGATCCATACCTTCATCAAACTCTAATAGATCCATTTTAATGTTTAAGTCCCTATATCTATCATATGTGTGCTCTTATATCGATCTCCTCTGAAATTGAATTTTGAAACGTTGTGGCCAAGATTCCCGTCACTAATGGCCTCCTTGAGAGATAAATTTGGATCCTAGTCCATATCTCTTCTTCGAATCTCCAGATCTCAGTTACCTGATTCTGACTTTTACGACAGTACTACGATGTATGTGTGATTATATTCTCAATTTTCTTTATTTATATTTCTTCCTTTACAATGGCGTCAAAAACTTGACTCTAAAGCAAATAAGAGTGCAACTATCATATTTAAATATTGGAATACTATGCAATTGTACGTATCGTTATCAAGTAATATAGGACTTTTTAATTAAGCCCCGAAATATCGAACCCGCAGGGAGTACTACAATTTTTTAAGAAAAAATTAGATAACAAATTCTACTATGAAAAATATTTTTACTCAAACTATAGAAGTTATAATAGGATTAAAAATTTGATTCTTTTTGGTAATTGTTTATAATTAAAAATAAAGTAAACAACTAACTAAATTTGACTAGATTTTCTTAAGATAAAAGCAATATAAATAAAAATTTTTTTTTCTTATCATGAATCAGTAACAAATATAAAAATTAAGTTGTGGAAGTATTTAAATTTTGTTATGTCAAATAGGAGCAATATTATTCTTTACCCTTACTAGAAATGTTATAAAAAATATTGGCTAATTTACTAATTTAAAGTTTGATTAAAGTTTGAATAGTCTTGAAGATGGGTTGGGTAGGAAAGATATTAGTTCTCACTCTAGAGTTCACTCTTCTCCCTCCACCTGGAGGCTCCCATCTCATATCAATACCTAAAACAATAAACGAATTGAGGGCTTTAGTCTGTCACTCTAAAGTCCTCTGACTCTACACCCTTCAAAGTTTATTTCTTTATTTATTTACACTCAATCATATGAATTATATTCTCATCCATACAATTTCATACATCCATACACATTAGTTGACTGACACAATACCATCTCGAATCTTACATGTTCTCACAATAATTATTAACATCTTAATTGTCCAAATCAAGAAGTAAATTAAGTATAAGGATTAAATCATCACAACTTATTCTGGCATTAAAGAACAATATTTCACACAACTTCCATCCAACACTTAATTACTTATCATTTTAAGGAAAAAGATAACGAAAACTACTTAGAATTCATAGAGAAAACACAACACTGAAGTATAAAAGTAGAAATCATGTAAACACACAAAAAATCTAAATTAAAATCAAATGTAATCACAAAGATAAAAATTTATCTCAAATTCCTCTCCACCAAACTCTTGAAGTTCATTTGAATTTCTTCATTTCTCTTAGAATACTCCCTACTAACACAACTACAACTCCTCCCTTTCTTCTCTCTAAAAGTATCCTAATTATTCTATGATGAGAGGGGCGGCAAAATGAAGTCTCAAGGAGAGGGGGGCCTTCAATTCAATCCAAGTCCTTTTATAATTTTCTAAAATGTGTTTTGCTGTCTTTTCAAAAATATGTTCACATTCAATGAATCTTCCAAGAGTCGTCTCCTTTCAATAGTTATTTGAATTTATTTTCGTGCTCATTAACTATAATTCACGTTTTCACCAAGAAATGCTTCCAACACCCCTTTAAAATTTGTCCAAATTCATTGAATTTTTAAATAACTACCTCTGGCGCCTAAGCGCGAGGTATTCGGCGCTTAGGCGCGGCCTTCTTTGTTCTCCTGATGCTTAAGCATCAGTCCTGAGCACTTAAGCGCCACAGTTCATTTGCACACCTTCTTCATTTTTTCTCCAAATTTGATCATATTTTACTCCTTTCACCATATTTCATCCATTTAAAAGTACCTGAAAAAAAAACACATAAATATCTTCTATTAAAACGCAATATCCTTAAAAATAGACATAAAAATGTGTATATAAATGCTATATATTTTAGATGTATCATTACCCCTAAGTTCCATCATCAATTTTTGCGAGCCTCCGTTAAAACTGATGGATCTCCCTTTGTATCTCGTCTCAAGTAGTTTTCAACATGTATCTCTGTGGTGGCATAATTAGGGTTTTAGTTCAGAAGGGATGGTTAAGGATAAAAAAGAAAAAAATTTTAATAGAGGGGTAGGCGAATGCTAAGAAATCTTAGAGTAAGACTAGGATTATGCTAGCTCTGATACCAAATGATAACGGATATAATCTAGAAACAAGCAAGTATGATTATTATCACTGAAAAATTAGAGAAACACAACAAAGGTTCATAAAACTAGAAATAAACTGACACTACTACAAGTGAGACTCTATGGGGAGGAGGGAGGTGTGAACTGCGGCTGAACAACGAGTTAGGGATGGTTTGGAGAAAGTATGGCAGCAATTAGGGAGGAGGCGGCAGACGGATAGGTTTTGCCGAGTTGGGGAAATAGCAGAGAGGTTGCTCGAAGGCTGGTCAGCAATAGAGGTGGCAGAGGAAGGTGGGAGGGGCAGGAGGGGCGGGAGGGGCCG